GGTCTGCTCACCTGTACCGCGGCTGCTCTGATGTCTCCGAGGGGGACCGCTCTGGGATGGAGAGAGACGTGGAGGACAGGGTCGTGGCGATGGAGGCGGTGGTGGCCTCCTCGAAAGAAGGCGGTGTGCAGGGCAGGAGGTCTGGCCGGCCTGTGGCGAGGAGCGGGTGGGCACTTGCGGAGGCCTGGGAGGCCTCTGGGCTCCACGTACAACTCGGCTCACCCTCTACCACCCATGCCCCCGACTCCCACCTGCCACCCCACACTGTTATCCCTGCCAGCTTTAAGCGGGCAGATGTGCTCCAGTTTCCCCCTGGCATAAGACCTTCCAGTAGCTTCCCACTGCTCTCAAACTAAAATCCAAACCCCTCCCTTCGGCCCCCAGGGGGTCCTGCTCCACAGGTCTCACCTGCCCTCTCCCCCCTCCCCCGCTGCTCCAGACACACAGGCTCCTGTGCCTCCTCCCCCTCTGTGCCTCCCACACAACAGGCTAGGCCAGGTCGCACCCCAGGGCCTCTTGCACAGGCAGCTTCTCCCTTCCTTGATGCTCTTCCACCAGCCCCTCCCTGCCTGGAATCTCTGACCCAGGGGACGGGAGGGACCTTCCAGAACCTCGGGCCCAACCCCATCAAGCACTTCATCCCTCCAGGTCTCTGTGCACCTCTGATGTGAAGGGAGCCTGTCACCTCTGGGGCGCGGGGGCATGGGTGGGGAGGCAAATTCTATGCTCAGCCTTTGCTGTGGCTCTTCCGGGGGCCGTCCCAGCTGCTCCCCACTTCCCAGCTGGGTTAGTCAACCCCCTTCCCATCCAGGCTGGGCCCAGCTGCAGGGGCCCCTTCCTCCTGTTGGACTGCTGCTCTTGCTCCCTGAGCCCTTCCCTTCCCAGCCCCCCAGGGACGACGCCTTGCCCCAGAGGCCCCCTTATCTCCGGCCGCCTGCTCACCTTCGTCCTCCAGCGTGGGGTAGCTGCGGGCCCCCCGCAGGTCGTACTGCGCGTCCTCCCGCTCGCTGGGGATCTGGCTGGCCGAGAAGGCGGCGGTGGGCCCCAGGGGCTTGATGGCCAGCAAGGCACCGCGGCCCTTCTTGGACGGTGAGGACTTGAGGGCTGCGGAGGAAGGGCAGTTGGTGCTTGGGTGGCAGCACTGAGGCCGGGCCCTGCAGCCCCCGGTGCCTCCGTTGTACAAAAGCCTGGTTGCGCCCCCCCCCCCCCCCC